ACATTGGATCTAGAGTCCAGACTCTTGAAAACATTGACAAGAAAAAGGACTCTTGATTCAATCAGATTTAAGCTTAAATCAAAAGGAAATCCGCTCAAATTAAGAGGCTTGGTTCTTGAGTTAAGCTTGAATCTGATTGAATCAAGAGTATTTTTTCTTATCGATGTTTTTAAGAGTCTGGACTCAAGATCCAATGTGTTTTTTTTTTTCCCAGTGCGCTGTTAACATTTAGCAATGGCTGATGTGGCTTGGTTCCTTTCTGCTAAACGCGGTCCAAATTGCTCTCTACTTTTCCCTGTTTAATTTCAAGTAGCTCAACCATCAGGAAATTATTCATAGCTCCTAGAGCCATACATTAAAATGTCAGAGAGGCTATGCGTAATGCAAATAAATTCTCGCCGGCTCCCCTAGGGAGTTGTGTGTCTGCAGTCTGCACCCTTATTTCCCGTCGAAAAAGCTGAGTCGTGGAGACTGACCTCGGTCCAAGACATATATAAAATCCTGGACATTGAACTCGGACTATCACGGAAAAAGGAGCCGAGGGAACCCTCTCACTCCCCACCTCGGGTACTTTAATTGCTATTTTTACCCGATGCTCGGCCCTCTCCTCTCCGCGGTGATCATTTAGGCTCCGGGCTGGAGGCTGGTGTGGAGCCTGGTAAAAGAGGCGGAATGAATGAGGGAACGATGAGACGTTGACTGCCTCTGGACTTGGATTTCGTTACGTATCACCACAATTTTCCTCCGAAGGATCTGCGCTCGTTGAATAAAACATAGGAAACGCGTGGAAATGCCACATTTTAAATATCCGTTGTACGAAATGTCCGATGAGAAAAGTTCAATTTTTATAGCCCAATGGGCTCGTCACCTTCCGGCCTAAGCATCACAAGCGCCATGCGACGTTTAAAAATTTCCGCCGCCATTTTCTTTGTTTGCAGAGAGATTGTTGGTTGAATTTGTTTGAAAATTTCATTGACAGCTTAGTTTAACGATTTCTCTGTAACAAAAGAAAATGGCGGCGGAAATTTTGAAACGTTGCATGGCGCTTGCGATACGTAGGCCGGAAGGTGACGATGTACGGAGTGTCCGATAAGAAAATTCCAATTTTTAAAGCCCAATGAACTTAATACATTTAATAAATTAACACATTAAAATGTAGATTAAGGTTTATAGCCCATTGTAATATTTAATAATAGTAAATATTTAATTTACGAGAACTCCGCTTTTCATTAATTACACTGAAGAAGAGGCCTACTGTATACTGTATAATACCGTATAATAGAGGTACCTAACGGAAATGACCCACCGAATTTTTATTTCGCTTGACTTAACCGTCCATCTTTCTGCTGAATCATTTTATGATCCTCCTGATTTTTTGAGATGATGCTTCTTGAATGTTCCCCCACTCATTCTTGCTCAATGAATTTTTCGACTGTTTTAATAGCTTACGTCTCTGAGACAATAAAACCGCAGCAGACTCTTCGTTCTTGTGCAGAATTAACGGTTAGAAATTCTTCCTTAAAAACTCTGAAAACAGTTAAAAGACGAATTGTATGATTGATTGGCTGAAGGAACCAAGCCTCATCAGCTATTCCCAAATTTAACGGGACAGTTTAATATTCTACATGAAAACGTTCATGCGGATTTTTGTGCAACTTTCAGTCAATTTTCTGCATATTACGAAGCAAATCAGCTGAAATTTTCAAAGGTACCCATACAAACGTTCTCTCGCAAAAAAAATAAATTCCGCGGTTTTGGCAACAGCTGATGTGGCTTGGTTCCTTTCTGCCAATTTTGAGTAAAATTTAGTTAACGATGTAAAGTCAACAAATAAATTTAATTAACGATAACAGCGTTATTTCCCTACATACTGTGCTCCATCGTGGCAGGGCAGAGCGCTCGTCCGTTTAATCTCGGAGGAAAAGCGCTAATCGATGACTTGAGGATGGTTAGATCATCACTCACGCATCGCATTCCGCAACGCGAAGTTCGCGCTTCATACGTAGTCTCGACTGTGACGTCACTCGGATACGGTCCATAAGCGAGTTAACCGGGGGCGGCGCGGCAGCGCGCGAAGCGTGAAAAGCGCGAATTAGCGGATAAAAGGAAGCTCGGGCAGTGAAGCGGAGCGAATAGAGCGGGCCCTCATTGGCCATTGTAGTGCGTTTAGATCCACGTGCTGACAACAATAGGGCCGATTTTCTGACGTCGCGCCGCGGTCGCCGTCCACCTCCAAGCTAACCTCCGCGCGGGAGGAGGCGGTGCAGCGGAGCGTGGCTCGCCCGGAGCGAATCACGCCTTTCGGCGAGCATCTTCAGCGAGACTCCACACAGAAGTCGAACTGGGTCTGGGTCTAGGTCTCGGTCTGGGACCCGACCACAACGAGCCGCTCGGTATAACAGGTTGTGCGGGTCACAAAACCTTACTCGCCAAACGTAAAACGCGCCCCGCAAACTCGGACCGGGTTTTTAATGATGTTTTCAATGGGACGTTGCGCGTCGCGCTGCCCGCGTGGGCGGCGCGGTGCATTGCGCACGCCCAAACCATTGAGACTATCTCGGACTCTGTCAAACAGGTTGATCTGGTCACGAAGCCTACGAGCGGTGTCTGCCGCTGCCTCTTCTGCTCCCGAGCCCGGAAACTAGTCCTAATAGCAACCTGTCGATAATATCATTCGTCTGCGTCTGGATTCCTCCTCGCCCGGCCGCATCTCTACCCTTCCGAGGATCCGTTCCATTCATCTCGCCACCGGTTCCAGCTTTCGGACGCCGCGCGCCGCTTCCTTCCCGCGCGAATCAGTAGTCGAATTTCCGCCAATGGATCCCATTCACTCTTTGGGCCCGATGGACAGGGCTCCAAGACACGAGGGAAACCGCTTCTTTCTCTTCTTCTTCGTTGTCGTCTGTACTTCTGTTGTTGTTGTCTTCCCTTCTTCTCCTCCTCTTTTTCTTCCTCTTCCTCTCCTTCTTCTTCTTCTTTATCGTCGTATTTTCTTCTTTTCTAACTCTTCTTCCTCTTCTTAATCGTCGTCGTCGCACGTTTCTTTCTTCTTCTTCTTCTTCTTCTTCTTCTTCTTCCTCGTCTTCCTCTTCTTCTTCCTCCTCTTCTCCTCTTTTTTCCTTTTTTCCTCTTCTCCTTCATAGTCGAGTTTTCTTCCTCGTTGTCGTCGTCGTGGTCTTCCCTTCTTCCTCTTCTTCTTCTTCTTCTTCTCCTCCTCCTTTTTCTTTTCTTTCTTCTTCTTCGTTGTCGTCGTTGTTCTCCTTTCCTCTTCTGTATATTGTTGTTTTTAAGTCTCACACTTAGACCGACGACTTTTCGGTAGCTCCTTCATTTCACGAAGATAGGCAATCTGGAGTGCGTGTCGAAATTGTTAGGACTGATTTATTTTGGTTGTGTTTAACCGAAGATCGTGTCTAAAAACGAGATAGCCCATGCGCAATCCGTGGTTGCATCCGTGCAACAACCGCTGGAGGCTCTTTTTATGCAGCCGAAAATAAAATTCGTCGATTTTCAACAATCCGAACCATTTCCAAGCATCCCTTGGGTGATTCTCGACGGTATTACGAAGAACGAAGGATTCGTTCAATAAAATATCCACTCAATTATTACCAGGGATAGAATTTTGTCGGTCTTTCCCAAGGAGGTTCAACATCCATAAGTGCAGTCAAGACTCTTCCTAAGAACGGTGAAAAGACCGACAAAATTCGGCCCCACGTCCATTTTCTCAAATCTCAAATTTTCCACTCACTGTCTCCCTCAATTATCTAATAGTAGGTAATCCTGAATCGTGAATAAATGTCACGGTACGCTTTACCTACGTCGTAGTTTCCTCCGTAAGCGTGCGTGCGCATAGTCGAACGCCACGCTCAGACCACTAATAAGTTTTCTCTTTAGTTGAGGAAAAACAAATTGACGGAGTAATATGCGGGATATCCATTTAATCCCGGAGACCACGAGGCTAAAGTTTTACGAAAAAAACTCCCGCCGAGCCTTGTTCGATGACTAACGAGTGTTTTATAGCTCCGTCAATTATTACACAAATTGGACAGCCGAGACATTGAAGTAGAATGGAACTACTTCCGGAGCGAAGCAATGAATGTACGTATATGTTGCGCGTTGTTTCTGCAGAAGGTGTCGGAACGAATAGCTGTTCCGTATCTAATCCTAATCACTGAGCCAGCCGATTTAAAGCGGGCCGGTCTTCATCCCATGCAGACCATCATACTCCTTCCATGTAGGCACTTTTATGACCTACTCACCACTCAGTGCTGGACTACCACCTTGATTAATGACCTCTTTTTTTACCGGTTCTGTTTTTCATCTTGCAAACTAATAAAATCTTAAATTAATCGGCGAATATTGATTACTCTATTTATTGTCTAGCTTTGAGCTTTCATTTCCTGTCGGGAAAATGGACTCATATCCGATCAGATTGCTCGCGATTCTATGAGCGACTCTTTGAATGCGATTAATGAGTCTGCTCTCTTCATAATAGGCTTTATGTATTAATTCAACATCGAACCAACACCATCGGGAATGGATGAGTAGCTCACCTGACGAGGCAAAAAAGACAGTATCTCTCATCATTTTTAAGGAATCGGAGAAAAAATTAATTAAAAAATGTAGCGTGCATTGGGTTAATATCGTATATTAATTTGTTTCACTGTCCATAAAAAAATAATGTGTCAAATCTTAACATCCGAAAGTGTCACAGAATTATACGGGGAAAATGTTTTCTTCTTGAAGCGCTATATTGCACGTTAAGTTCAAAGTTGATTGTATAGGGCGGGCGCAGCGTGAAGCTTTGCTAAAGCACGCCCTGATGCTGGGGGGACTAGGGAGCCGGTGCCCTTAGTACCCTCTATAAAACTTAAGGGATTTCAGATTTCTACCCCAGAACAATTGTCTCTGTGATGTGCACCGTTTTATGCCATGTTTTGATTATCAAATGCTTGCAGACTATCTTTTTCTAATACGATATTATTTTTCTTCTGTTACAGAATGTGCCAAATTACAGACGCTCTGTACCCCGAAGTTACGAACATTGATAGTTTTATATCTTAATTTAAGAATCCGCTCAATGTGAATACGCCGTGCTTATCACATACTCAATCGAAATCAAAAGTGCAATCTTAATGGACTGATAATTTTAAGTGCCATATCAATAGAATTAGAAAGATAGAATTACATTCCTCGCTGAGGTGAGAATATAAGTAGTTTTTTCAATAGTGTGTGTCATTTGTTTACTTTTATCTCTAGTATCGGTAGTTTCGAATCAAAATGGAGGACACAAGACCGCAAGAACCAGATAACCGAGTTTCGGGAATCAACGAAGTCGAGGGGAACGATGTATCACCGTTACCCCCGGCAGCGTCACCGGTGGCGCCGGCCCCGCTGGCCCCCACGTCAACGTCCAACATCAACGGCCCGAGCCCGGTGAGCAACGACCAAGGACCCAGTTCCCCGGTCCTCCTGGCCACTATGACCCCGGTCGAGTTCGGGAAAGATTACGAGGAGCAAACTTTGTCCGTCGCCCACTCCAATCTGCCGGTCGGGGACGGTTTGGACGATAAGAATGTGATCTACCTGGAATCGGGCGCCCAGGGGGAAACGGTCATTTTCGACGCCTCGCAGCCGCTGCCCCAGGGTTTGTCCATCCAGGAGGCCAACGGACCCAACGGGCCCATCTCCGTTGTCGTGCAACAGCCCGGGGCGCCTCTCTCTTTGAACCAAGCTGCTTATCAGGCGGTGCCGTCTTATCAGGGACACCCACCTGGAGCCACAGTTCTCGTCCTCTCAGAGCTTCCCGACGATCCAATGGCCATTCTAGGACCAAGGTAAGATTATCAACACCTCGTAATTACTCATTTCTCTCATTACTCCTTCTCCTCTTTTGAATACATTCCAAAAGTTTGGAACTACCTAAGCGATATAAGATTTTTCATCATACCTACTTTAGTTTCTCTTCAAAAAATTTTTCAAATATCCCCCGTAATCGAACTCTCTGATTGCACAGGAAAAACAAGCAGTGAACTCCAACACAATGTGTTGATAAGGCGCGTCATTAACTCGCACATATCAACCCCTTTAGTTTTCATTTACAGAGATTTCAAAATAGGCAAACAGCATAAAAAGAGAATTCACGATCCAACACTGCGAGGTCAAAGACGCACCTTGACGAGACCGTGTATTGTGAAAGTAGAAAGCTATTCGATCGAATTTAAGTTTTTTGATCTGCCTCAAGCAAAATCTTATCAGATTCTTGAAGAAAAGTGCTACGGAATAATTTAAGCGAAGAAAGGAAAAATTCTGTCGAACTCCTAGAAGATAAAGTCGATTTAAAGGTATTTTGGGGCTAAAATACCCAAATCACCGGTAGTAAAAATCCCGTTATATTATTGAAAAGAAATTGACTCGATATAAATGCAATTGCATTAAATACGTCTTGATTTTGTTATTTTAAACGTCTTTCCATGCAAAGAAGTTCAACCATGTCGTTGCTTTATTCATTCATGAATTGAAAGTAAGCAATCTACATCCCGAAAATCTACTGATTTGCCGTAAAAAATTGCAGAAACTTGATATACCAGGTCGATGCACCCACTCGTTGAATTTACCAACCAATTTTGTGAGTGCA